GCTTAAGCATGCCTTGGCCAGATTATCTTCCTCAGACCTCACTTGATCCTGAAACTTCTACAGCTCCTTCTCATCTCTTTTACCCTGCTTTCAAGCTCTTTATTCTTATTGAGTAATTCCCAGTTCTCCTCTCTCAACCTGTTTACATCAGCATCTCGAGTAGCAATCTCTACCTTGTGCTGAGCCTCCTATTCCCTCATTATAACTTCAGCACCCTTTAGTACATCCTCCATATGGTTTCTTCACTTTCATCTTAGTATAACCTATCTTTAACTTGGTTATCCGAGCAAAGTTCATACTGTTGGCATTGATAGCTTGAAACAAGCATTGGTTGATTAGATCCTTTATCGCCACATCGTCCACATGCTCAAAGTAGCTAGCGTTTGTAGGGAATAGACAGTGGTGAGCCACTTCTCGGCTAGGCTCTCCTCCCAAAGATTGCAAGTCACCCCATACTTATGTAGGAAGTAGCTTCGGATGTCCAACGCCCTTGGAGGAACAGGAGAGGGGACAGGAACACGTACTTCCCTCTGCCTTTTTCTGAGAGGCTCGACCGGCGGGCTTGAGGGAGGTTGTTCAGAATGAGTGACCCCTACAGCAGCATCAACTTTGATTGGCTGAGTATCAAGTACCACCGAAGGAGCCTCATTTCCCGAAATCCCAGCAATAGCCTTTTTCTTCATTGCTTCGAAGACCTTGGCCATCTCAGAGCTTTTGGATTTCTTCGGTACCATTTCTGCGCCAAAGCAAGAAGGGAAAATTAAGAGATGTTAGTGTAAAGAATCAAAGGCAAAGTTATTAAGGACAAAGCTTACCAGAGAAGGAAGGGCTGGGTCTCATGGGTCCACTAGGGTAACAGGATTAAGAGATGTTAGTGTCAAGAATCAAAGGCAAAGTTATTAAGGACAAAGCTTACCAGAGAAGGAAGGGTTGGGTCTCATGGGTCCACTAGGGTAACAGGTCGGATAACCCTCGGCTATCACCTGCTTAGATTAACAGAACCAAGTCCCTTAGCCTTTATTAACTCCATACAAGTTCGGTCATAAGGACTGGGCAAGGTAGGAATGTGGAAAAGAGGATCCTCAGACCAATGGTTTGCCACTCCAAACCCCCTAGGATATTTGATAATGAAATAATAAGATTTTTAATTTTTCAAAGAGGAAATGTTACATTTCTTTGAAAAAATGTTGCAAGTGTTATTTGCCTGGTGGAAGCAGTGGTCCTCCATTAGGCGAACGGAGAAATGATAAAGCTCCCAAACCGCCCTAGCCGTCACATTATACCCATCTTGGTGAGCCAACGCTATTAGGCCACACAAGAGCCTCAAGCCATTGGCGTGTAGTTGGCTGATAGTAATGTTGTACTCATTGAAAACTTATTTCAGTGATTTGGATAAAGGAAATCGAACCCTAGATTGGAAGCTTTCTTCATACATCATATAATAGAATATCCATCTAACGGCTCGATTACCCTCTTGCCCTCTGAAGGTTGGATCAGTTTGTATTCTGGTTAAAGGTTATGTATAAAACATACATCCAATAGCTCGCCCTCATCAATATCAGATGTTATGTTGGCAATTATAACATTCTCCTTCCAACCCTTGGCTTCGCCCACCCCCAAGTCAATGTCCGTAGTATGCTCATCACCGAACTAATCATGTAACATCTGGACATCCTCGTCACCAGAGGAACCCATGACCCTGACAGGCAAAATGCAAAAGGAAGAAAGGAGCAGATTGAACTTACTCGGAAGAAGTTAGAGAGGGAAACAATTTAGAGAGAGATGCTCTGAGGATCAATTTCTGAGAAGTGAAACAAATGAAGTAAGGAAGTGGCCTTATATAGGTCAGGCTAGGCAACTGAAGAGTCACCTCATTAACTTACTCGGAAGAAGTTAGAGAGGGAAACAATTTAGAGAGAGATGCTCTGAGGATCAATTTCTGAGAAGTGAAACAAATGAAGTAAGGAAGTGGCCTTATATAGGTCAGGCTAGGCAACTGAAGAGTCACCTCATTTAATAAGGCAACTCTTCAAGTACCCCCCCAAACCAATGCCTAATTCTTTGCAAAATAAAGCTGCCATAAAATGACAGCCTTCACAACAAGCAACACAACAAAAGCTTGTAAAAAATAAATAACTAACGAAATAAACAGACATTAAAAATACATAAACACTACATTTGGACATAAAATGACCAAATAACTAATTGGGAACTACTGTTAACATTCAATAATAAAATATTTTAAAATAATAATACTAGACTCCTACATAAACTCCAACCAACACATAATGTAGGATTCGTAATCCTTATCCTAACATGACTATCCTAAATCAAGTATATATACTCCAAATTTATCCCAAGGATGGGTGAATTTACAATTTACTACACCTCAAATTCTGAGAGCTTAACAATAACTAAGCAATTAAATTTTGGAAAAGATAACCAATGAGTTTTGTTTAGTGATACTGGAACTATCTGAAAAAATCTAAAAGTTTCGAATTAAAATCTCTACTAACCTAAACTAATCCCAAGTTAAAAGTTGAAAAGTAGAACTAATCCACTTTAGTTTCGAAGCATGGAGTTGTCTCCAGGACTATGAATTTGCAGCCAAGAAAGTTCAAATTTCAAAAGAAAAATGAGAGACTAATATAGATAACATAAATACTTTAGGCCTAAATAAAAAGAATGGTATACATGTGCATGTCAGAGTTTGTTATAATTTTTAGAATTTTAAACCTACTTCTTACTCATTAATCTATCATCTATCTCGTGTTAGTTTTCCAATTGCATGCTTGATTAAAACTTCAAGTATGTTTAAGAAGCCATGGAAAAACAAGTTAATAAATACAAATCACATTTTTTTATTATCATTAATTTATTTTGAGATGTTTTATCAGAACTACAATGAATTAATTTTACAGTCTTCACTTCTCCAGTTTAACCAGCATACGACTACTGCCTATTGTTAAGTTTTTCAAGTAGACTATCTAACTACTGACTTACGTGGTATCCATCAATAACTACATCAACAGGCCAAATTAAACGATTGGTCACTCAAATTTTTAAAGCTAATTTTAGTTTGGTAATTAAAGATCCATTTGTCAAATAACAGGCCAAATTAAAGACGATTTGGCCAAATTAAACGATTGGTCACTCAAATTTTTAAAGCTAATTTTAGTTTGGTAATTAAAGATCCATTTGTATATTTGATGCCAAACTTTTTCATTTAACAAACCAAATATAATCATATTAAAATTTAAGAGTAATCCTACCAGGAAAATACAAATCAAATAGGGTTTTTTTTTTAGAATTAGGGAGGTGGTTTTCAAACCTAAGACTATGCCAAAATTTGTATTCGGTAATTGCACTAGGCATAGCTTGTGAGTGCAATGAAATATCAAAATTTAAAAATTTGCTTATACATAATAAGTTTTGTTGAAATATTCAAGATATTTTTCAGCTCAAGGCAGGTTCACTTGTATTATAACAAAAAACATAAATGGAAAAAATAATTATTTTCAACAAAGTCAAAACAAATTATTCAGCAATTAGCTTCGTGTATAAATTCCATTCATTTATGTTGGTATCTTCCTCTGTAAATGATTAAATTGGTGCGCTCTCTGTATGCTATTCATGATAACTATATAATTATTGTTGGACTAACATATGGCATTAACATTTTATGCTATTAATACCAGTTCAGTTGAGGACTTTACTGAAAGAGGTTAAGATAGGCTTTTTATGCTGTTCTCTTTCGTTTATTGTTAAGTAAATTTGTTACGTCCTTTGCATAAAGCTTTCTCACTTATATTACTCTTTCTTTCATTGCAGGCATTGAAGATCAAGTCTAGAAAATAGTTATATTTCCTTTTAACCTCCAAAAGACTACTTTTTTGGGTAATGATCCGCTTCTTAGAGTTCTTCGAGCCTATTCCGATTTGGATACCTTTTGAATTTACGATTTTATTTGCCATTGTTTGGGGATAATTTTTTGGATAAAACACATGGCAAGTTTCTTGCTCAGCATGTCTGAAATAGAACTTAGTATCCAGCATGTCTTGAAATAGCTTAGTATCAAAACTTGTATTTTTTATATCTCTATTTTGTTTTCTTAGTGTCATGTAATGTCTTCAAGAAACATTTGGGTTTTATCCTTTCAATTGAATTATAAATTTTCATTGAAATAAAACTCTACCAAACAATTAGAACTCATGTTGGTCCTTGGATAGGTGAAACATGTTGAACTTTGTAAATCTTCTAAGGCTTCATTTTAAACAGCTGTATTTAAGAAGTAAGATCAAACTCTACCAACTAATAACAGCTGTATTTAAGAAGTAAGATCAAAATTAAGTGATTGATCATTGCTCTGAAATTGCTATGCATATATGGGCAATAACTCTGAAATTGCTATGCATATATGGGCAATAACTCAACTGCTGAAAACTTTTGAGTCCATGTCTATTATATAACCTGATCATGTCTTATAAAACACCTCAAATTTTTCATATGCGCAGTCAGCTAGCGTGATCTTACAACCTAATATTTTTCTTCACTTCTATTGGTTCTTTTTGTCTTGTTTCTCTTTTTCCATTTCTATGTCTTACATGGCTAATTTCTGGTTATTTAGGTGCAAGGTTTGGATTCATACTTGATGAAGAACTCAAAGTAGCTGCTGCCTGTGATGATGTGAAAAATGCTCTTGCAGTGAAAATTAGCAAAGAGCAAGAGGCGCATTGGAATCTGTTAAGTATGCTAACCTCTCAAAGAATGAATATGCATGTACGGATCAAAATATTTTTGTATGTCTGGAAAGACATTGACTTGCTTGGTGGAGGGACTCTTTAATATCCATTGTGTATCTATGATAGTAGTTTATTATTTATCTCCATTGCTGCTCTTCTTGTTGCTAGGTTGAACCATGAATTTCTGGCAATCAAACCTGTTAAAGCTATGACACAATTTCAGATTGACAATCGTGGTTGTCTTTCGTTTTCCTCCCTTAAGGTTGAGCCAGCAGTGTCAGAAGGATGCCACAAGTACGATATGGTGCATGATATCCATTGATAATTACATCTTATCTATGTTTTTATATAAATAAATTCCTGCTACCTAAGTTTGGGTATCAAACAGTTCCAAAATCCCAATTTAGAGTTTGTTATATTATTTAGGCAAGAGTTTTAGGAATGATGAAGGCATGCATCAGCGTGATTATAATTTAATTCTTTTCTCGAGTTAGGCATGGCCAACAGTTCATTTTGAACCTGGAACCAAATTGTATTGTAATGAAACCGAAACTGGATCGGAACCGGTCGGTTCAAAATTTTGAAGCCAAGAACCGGCGGTTCAAGGGCCGTTAAGGTTTCATGGTGAATGTTAAAATTTGAACTTGAACCAGTCCTGAACACGGCGATTCCAGTCCGTTTGAACCGAAAATTTTCTATTTTTATTTTTTTAAAATATAATCACTTAGGCATATTTTAATACATCTCTAAAATGTCTCAAATAATATTTTTAATAACTACATGATATAACTTAACTTAAGATTTTTTTTTTTTTAAAAAATACCTTTACTTTAAAAGTTAAAATCTAAAAAAGTTAAAATGGAAAGAAAGAGAGAAAATATTTAATTAAACTTATATTGTTTTTAACTTTTATGTTTTTTACGCTTTTAAAATTGTTTTACTAGTTTATAAATTACAATTTTTTGAAGCAATTTTTTGAAAATTTTCTTAATAATTTATTTAATTAATACATTTAACAAAATAAAGTGATAACTTATTTGATTAATTTTGTAAATTTAATTAATTTTATTCTATATGAGTAATGAGCATTCTAAAATATTGAAATAAATTTAACCAATATTTTTAAACTCATATTAATATTTGCGAAAATAAGATGTACGTTAAAACCATTTTTTTTTAAAAAAAAAAGCATATATCGCCAGAAATTTTGTAATCGGAACAGTAACCGGAACCGCCAAAACCGGACCGATTGGAACCGGCGTTCAAGGATCGTTTCAGGTTTCAAACATTTCAAAAATTTTGAAACCGTTGGTTTCCATGAACCGGCCATGCCTATCTCTAATCTAGAAATTTTGTGTCAAACATAGTGCGTTTTAAAATTTTCCTCCTCTCTCCTAAAAAGTTTTACTGCTTGGAATTTTAAAAATAGATGCAGCTTATGAGCACAAGTAACCCCATTCATTCAATATCGTTTTGAGCAGTTTTGATGGTTTTGCATTTTTATTAAGAAATTTTTGTAGTATAATAGCAGCTGGAATGCAGCTATTCATGAGAATCTGATCCTGAGAGAATTCCTTATACACTTTTGCTAACATCAAATTATTATTTGGGCTTTAGAGAATGCATTGTGGTTACAACAGCCTTTTATTATATATAATGTTTTTTTTTTCCTACTCACAGGATCCTTTTACCCATTTTAGGCTCTGTGTTGCTTACTTGGATTGTGCATGGAAACCTTATTCAATCAATTTGGGTGTTCTTTCTTCACTGGAGTGAGCCACGAATTATTTCCCAAATCTTTTTACTTTCACCTTTTCTCTGTTGACATTTATTCTAAAGTCAGTTTCATTTCAATTCTTTTTAATGCCATGTTTTAAGTGTGTTGTCTTGGTTTGAGTTTTAAAATACTTGTCACATTTGCATTCCTAGGATGAACAAAAGGAGACTCTGTTAATATGCTGTGTTGTTCTCCATTCAGAAATGTTACATAACAAGGATGAGAAGGGTAAAAGTTACGGTCCTTGTTCGTTTTCCTTTATATCTGCATCTTTTTGTGCTTGTTCCTTTATTTTCCTGGAAGCAGCAACGGATCCACATGAAACTAAACGTGCATCACAAGGAAGTTGTTACCTTGTTAGTTTTCCCCAAAAATAATAGGATGATGCAAAAATATTTAAGCCTTTTTCGCACCATTTTGTTTGTCACCCCTTGTATAATTCTCTCACCCCTTCCTCTCAGAATGGGATTTTGACAAGGGGACCACTTTACGTTTAATTTTTTTTTGGGCATCCTTGACCCGGCCTGCAACATTCAACAAAGTAACAAAACATTTGATTTTGAATCATAATGAAATGCCCTGAATTATCTTTTCAAGGCTTTTTGTCGTTCTAAATTTCCTGATTGTACTCTGTCCTGGGGTTTCAAATACATGCATATCTTTATTTCGATATCCAATAAGTTAAGTTTATTTGCTTGCTGAAGCTGCCCATGTGTTCTCAATGCTGCAGGCTCTGTTTTGTCAACATTTGTCTTCACAAGACTCTCTTAGCAAAAAGTCAGCTGACTTTTCTGAAACAGTGAGTTTTAACCTATTCTCTTTGGTTTCCTAACTGCAATCTACTAATGATAGGTTATAATTTCAACAGTCTCAGAGGTTCTTGAAGATAATTCAATTGTTTTTTTGTAGGTTATTAAGAATACATAGGTTAATTGAGAAATTGCTTAAACTTGATCCCCTTTTTGCTTACTTCTGATGAGGACAACCCATCCAGAATGAAGTTGACTGGGAGTAAACTTAATTGATGGTGCCTTCTCATCAGAACAACCCGCCGTATGGGCCAGGTATAAAGTTGTCCGCGGCATATTTAACCTTACCGCTGAAATAGCCTGAAAATTGCCTAATCTGCCCTTTTTGGCATTCATTGGAATGGTGCTCAGCCATTATATTAAATATATTACAAACAATTAGAAAAAAGGCATTCAAGTGCAGTAAACTGGCTTCTTGTAAACTTTAAATGATCAGGATTTCTGCTAACGAGAAAATCCAAAACTTCGGGGCCGAGTTGCCTTTATTGAATACTACTATGATATATTCCCCACCAGCACAGATTTTACTCTTAAGAACTTTTAGAATAAACAGTTTCAACTCGACAAGAAGAAGAGACTAATTAAGACACGTTTGAGAATGCCCATTACAGGACTAGGTATGAAAATTCATCTTGTGTTATATGATTTCACAACTCCTTAAGAATTTTATCCTTCTGAGCATAGGTATAGAAATGTCAAATCTCGTTATTTGCTATGGTAAATATTATAGACATAAGAAACCTAGTTTGTTTATTTTGTACCTGTGGGAAGCTCCCCTGCATTCCTTTTTCTGATGGTGATGTTTTATTTCCTCTTTGCAAGCAACAAAAAATTGCTAGCTTTTGGCAACTGCCCATCCCACAGGAACTGCAGAAGAATGCCTTGATGATGAATGAACGCCACTCAAAAGCGTACCAAAAATGGGCGTAACATATTAATCATCTCTATTTAATATAAGACCTCATCTAATCTGAACTGGAAAAGTTTGCCTTTTGCAAGTTCCCCTGAGTTTCCCATGAACATTCATGTAGCTTTGGGTAATAGACTGAATAGAAGAAAATGATGGAAGACAGGTAGCACAAGAAAATTTATCAAAGTTTTCGAGTAACCAATTTTGTAACAGATCTACAGATACGGTACTGAAGTTGCAGTAGAGGCAAGGTATTTTGTTATACATTGACTATAGTTTCACCTTCTAAAAGCATAATTGTTAAGAATCAGAAAAATTGTATTTTTACTAATGGGCTTTAATGCCACTTAATTCTAACTGTTGTTTACACTTGGAATTCGGCAAAACATTTTGACTTGTTTCATATAAGTGCATATAGCTTGTTAAATATTAGTTCATACAGCTGGTAATTTTAAACTGCTTTTGGGTTAATGTTTCTTAAAACGTCATGGAAATTTGATGGAAACCCAGATAAGTTTAAAAAATCTTATAATGATTCCTTTTTCAAAATTGATCCTCAAGAAAGAAGATTACAATTCCCATCTTGGATCGTTTTTGAATCAAGATGTCTGGTATGGATTTGAAAATGTCCTTCTGTGTACCAATGGATATGGGCATGCTAGAGAAGCAAAGGGATCAAGAACTCAACAAATCTCACATACAGTCATTTTAACTTACAAATCTAGTCCTCAGTTTATCAAACGTCAAGAAAAAATAGAAATCATTCCCTATCAAAATCTTCTTGTCCAAGTGTCCCTGTTTTTATTTTGAAAAAACATTTACATGGAAACAAACAGAGGAAATTGAACAATCTTAATTTCCGTGTATTTCATTATTTTGGCAACAAAAAGGAAAAAAAAGAGCCTTTAAGACCAAATTAAACAAACTGAAAGCCTTTTGCAACACAGGGCCATTTGATCAGGATCAAACAAACATTTGAATAACACAAAACTTGCAGGAACATTTCTTTCAACCAAAAACAGAGTATACGGCAATACATTTAAGTATGCAAGAAGGAAGCAATCTTTGCCCTCCATATTCATAGAAACCCAATCATTCAAATGCACAAATTCACGAATTTCCCAACAACATTAATAATTGAATTTGGAATTGAATATAGACAAGTTGAAAATAACTTAAATAATACTGAAGAAACAACACATTGGTTTGATCCAGTTAACTTTGATTTCCCCTTAATGAATCAACATGTAAATTGATTACACAGAAACAACCAATCATGTTACATATTTTTGAAACAACTAAAAAAAAGAACCACCCAAAAAATGTTTTCCTTGTCATATCTGCAAATTAAACAGCAGCTCAATGGCCAAGGTTGTGGAAAAGAGGAAGAGAGAATGTTACAGAGGCACTAAACAGAACACGAGTCAGGATCAGAATCAGAACCCCCAGAAATTTCCTGCATATAAGCAAAAAAATCCTCATTCTCATCAGCATAATCGATTCTGAATCAAATTCAAAGGTATTAAGCATTATCCACCAGCAGCCTCCTCAATCACTAAATTCAGAAACCCAATTGGCTCATCACGGACAGCGCCTATCGTCAAACATTCATCCTCTCCAGGAGCCCAGATATCCATTGCATTCTGAGACCCAAACGTGTTCAAGCTCGTGGTACTGATTATTGCCCTAAGTTCAGTTCCCAATGGATTAATCAAAAATCGCTACCTATAACCCAATTCCCATAATCCCGTTTGCTCTCATGATACTACAATCTGATGTTACTTCTTGTTGTTCTTCT